TCCTATACAGAGGTTGCTGGCCTCCTAAAAGCTTCCCTTCTTCCCTGTGTCCTCAGCTTTGCCATCCAGAACGGGATTATCTTCCCCAAGCTCCCTGAGCCTAGTCTCAGAATGTCAAGGCACCGAGCAGTGTCCAAATCCCAAGGTCATGAGTAGATCTTCCGCCCACCCAAGGAGCAAGTTTCCCTGGTCACCAGCCCTGTTACTTTTGGCGGACCCTCTCAGATTAGCACCTGTCCCTCAAGGTCTCTTATCTATAGTCCCACCATCTCTGTTTCCGCCTGTGTCTCTCCCTTTGTCTTTCTGTTTCCCTGACTCTGGGTGCCTTCTTCTTTCCTGTCCCCTCTGTGTTCTCTGTCACTAGTGTCTCCACTGGAGACAAGGGTTGGGCCTGGGTGCGTGGGGGGGTAGTGGCCAGACCAGGGGCCCGGGACATGAGCGCAACTTTCCAAGCTTCTCTTCCAGGCCCCTGTGGTTGGGGAGCTCCACAGAGGGAGAGATGAGTCAGCGGGGCCGCAGAGCAGGGGGGGTCTGGGTGGGGGTGGGGATGCCGGGGTTCCCCAGGGCCAGAGAGTTTGCTAGGACCATCTGGGTCTCTGAACTCTGGTGGATATGGAGAATAAAGGATCAGCGAGTCCCCAAAGGTACACTACACTAGTAGGAATTGCAGGCAACAATTTGTAGGACTAGCAGTGCCCGTCACATCACCCTTATGCCCAGATTCTTGTAGGAAGGCGTTCCTAAATCCCCTCTAGGAGACCTCTGGGATTTCTAGAGCTGTAAGCTTGTGATGTTAGACCTGTGTGTATGTCTGTGATGTTTGCCATATCTGTAAATGTATGTATTGTTGTGAGTCTGTGTGAGTCCCTGCGGGGTATTGTAGCTAACTGTGAGTCCATCTGCATGTATGTATGCTGGTGTGAGTGCATTTTTGTGATTGGAGGTTAGGGTCAGTGTCTTGGCGTAAGCATCATCTGTATAACGTATGTATTTATATCCGTGTGTGTCAGGGTGGATGCCTGCAGAGTGTATGTATGTTCATAATTCAGCATGTGTGCAAGAGTGTATCTGAAAGTGTGTCACTCATTAGGTACGTATTAGAGAACGTGTTGATCTGTATCTCAGGGCTTTGTTCGCTGTTTGCTGGTGACTCTCTCTAGGGTAGCCAAACTCATAACAACAAAGGAAGAGTTAGGAGTCCCTCTGGATTGGGGCTCTCAGAGGAAGCCCAGCCTAGGATGGTGGGCGGAGGGCAGTGGGGTGGAAGGAGGTCGCTTCCCTGAGGAGGAGGGAGGTAGACGTCTCTCCCCAGTGTTCACTCTCTCTCCACCCTCACTGACCTTTCCAAAAACAGCTAAAGAGAACTGAGGCAGGTTCCAGATTCAACCCCCTCTAACCTAGAAATCCCACCCTGATTCTTCTAGGCGAGGGAGGGAGGGAAGGGAGCGGTCCCTGTGGTTCAGCCCAGTCCTGGGGTTGAAAGATCAGAAAGGCACCATCCCACCCCTTCCTTCAGGGGCGTCCATCTCTGGAGCTCAGCGTCTGGGTGGCCATGGGCGGAGGCTGAGGGGCCCCCAGGGTGGTGGGGGGTGGTGGATAGAAACCAGATGCCTAGGGGGTTTATACTGGAAGGACCAGAGCCGCAGCCTCTACCCGCCCCTGCCACATGGCGCCTCTGCCTGGCTGCCCCACCCCCTGGGAGGCTGGGCTGAGGGAGGCCTGCAAGGGTGGAGGCAGGTCCTTGGTCAGCGCTCCCAGTTGTTGACCCCAGCCTCTGGGGGCACTGGGAAGGGGGCGGGGGTCTGGGCCCAGGAATAGCAGGGCCTCAGCTGGGCTGCAGGACTATCTTAAACAAGGGTGTGGAAGAAGTCAGAACCCAGGGTCCTGAGGGAGGCAGCTGGGGGCTTCAGGCAGCCCCTCTGCCTGGCTTTGGCGCAGACTCTTGGGAGGGGGCGCTGTGTCCAGGGACTCTCCTACTGGGGTCGGCACATCAGGGGCCCTGGCTCACATCTTGCTGGGGACCCTGCTCCTTCCTTGTCCTTCCCTAGCACCCCTGCTCCTTCCCAGGTAGGATTAGGGATCCAGATCCCCAAAGGAAGTGGAGAAGGCTGACCATCCCTGCCCCCATCTCCTCTCCTCAACCCCCCACCTCCTTTCATCCTGCCTCCTTTTCCCCTTTAGTTTCTTCCTTTCCTCCCCAACCCCTCTCTCACCTGCCATCTCTTCTCTGGAGTCTAGACTTTGCTCCTCTGCCTCAGTTGCTTGCCTGATCTGAAAGCGTCTGGCTTTCTGCTGGTGGTGCAGTAATTCTTCCAAAGCTTCCCCTTTTCCTCCCCAACTTCTGAGCCCGCTCGCGTGGGCGCCCAGAAATCCATCTGACACCTCAGGCTCAGAAGCACCCCCCACCAGGGGGAGACTTCGAGGTCATGGGACACCCCACCACGGGCACTTCCTCTTGGGCAGACGGGTGGGGTGGCCCGTGTAATCATCGGACACAATTATGCACTATTTATACTCCATCCCTGCCCCCCACCTGCCTGGCCGTTTTGACCCTCTGCCTCCGCTGTCCTGTCCTTCTGAAGCCATTGTCTCCTCATCTTTGTTCCTCTGGGCCTATTTCTTTTCCTTTTTTTTTCATTTTTTCTGCTCTCTGTCTTTTTTAAGCCACACACTGGTCTTCTGTTTTCCTCTCTTCTCTCCCTGTTATATCCCTCGCTTCTCTTCTGATTTTCTTGGATTGTTTCATTTGCGCTGTATGCCTCTCAGTCTTTCTGTGTTTCTTCTTTTGCTTCTTTTCCTGGGAGACTGGTGTCTGCCAGTCACCCTGGTTCCCTAACCCTCTCCTCAAAAGTTGGGCCCCCAGGCTTCCTTGGGGGAAATTAAATCATGGGGCTGGAATCCCGAACTGCTCCCCCCACCCCCACCCCCGCCCCCTCCTCCCCTGAACTTTGATCCTGCCCGCTGGTTAAACTGCAGTTAACCCTCCCTGGACGTCCAGCTGCTCCTGCCTGCTCCCCACCTTTGCCTTGAGGAGCTGAGCTGGGAGAGTAAAAGGAGCCCGGAAGTAGGCACCCAGGAAGAGAAAGTGAGGGGACTGGTTGGGGAGTGAGGGAAGGGGTTGCGGGGTAAGGACCAGGCTCCATTCCTCTGATGGGCAGGGCTGAGAGCGGGAGAGGGGTGTGTTGGGGAAGAACTTGCAAAACAACCCCAGCTGGCTGGGCGCCTCCGTGAGAGAGATGCTGGCTCTACCACTTGGCTGCCCAGTCCTCTCTCTCCCATAAACTTACCTTAGGGCCCAGGTTTCAGTTAATGGACTTTTTGAATTTCCCTCTTCCAACTGGTTGACTTTCTTTTGTTCCCCATTTTGATGAGAAGTCAAAGTTGGGAAGTCCTGCCTAAGCTCTAACTTCAATTCTTCCTGCTGCAGAGGGAACTGATGCATGACAATGAGAAAGGGAACCAGGCACTCCCTCCTGGAAAGCATGGTCACTCAGGAGAAGATCATGAGTGATCACTTTGATCACTGCATCAAAGGATGGAGATTTGATGTGTGGCCAAGAAGGGCCTAGGGATGGTAACTGGCAAGGAACAATGGAGGCTAGGGCCTCCCTTTGGGGGGGCTAATCCAAAGAGGCTAGGCTCAGGCTTGGATGAGTTGACCCAATGACCTCCTGCCCTTACCCTCACTCCTGCCTGCCTTAAATTTTCTCTGAACCAGAAGATCTAGCTTCTGCCCCACAAAGTGAGGCAGGCCTAGGTACCACTTCCCAAGAGTGAAAGTCAGGCATTGGGAGGAAGATTGGCGAGCCCCAAACCTGTGCCAAGCTCTCCCCCACCTCCAGGCCTCGCTCTGGAACCTACCTCGGTGACCCTAAAAGCCTGGGCAGCGGAAGCCTCCACCTCAGAGCGCACTCCCCCTCCTGGCTTTCACAACACACGTACACACTGCACTCCTGCTCTCGAGGTGGGTGACTGGGGAAGCAAGCATCTCTGTGGTCAGCCCGGGTGTGTGTGTGGCTTGTGTGCCTCCAGCCATGTCACTGTGATCATTTGTGTGAGTTTGTCTCTGTTCATTCACGACGGTGGTGGCTGTGCCCGGGTGCATAGCACTGTGCGTGTGGACGTGCACACGTATCATCCTGTGTTTGTCCATGAGCGTGTATGTCAGTGTGCTCCAGTCTCTCTGTGTGAGTGTCGTCCCCAATCCCCCATCCCCCCCCCCTGGATCTCTAATTAGTGGTTTGGGGTTTGTTCCTTTTCCCTCCTGTTCCTTCCCTCAGCGGCAGCAGCGGCGGCAGCAGCAGCGGCGGCAGCAGAAGCAGCAGGAGCAGCCCCGCCACCCGCCGACCAGCAGCCAGGACTCTGGAGTCAAAGTAGGATTCTAGGATCAGAGCCTGAGTGGCAACAGGAGTGGAGCTGGCCTAGGAGAGGAGCGAAGCCCTCCCAGGACCCTCAGGCGACCCCTTGCCAGCACTCCCAGTGCCAGACCTCCAGGGAGGAGAGACCCAGGACACCCAGCCCCAGATCCCCCAGGTACAGGACACTGGGGAGCTATGTCTGGGAGGGGTTCCCACAGATGCTGATGGGATCGCTGGGGGCAGGGTGTGGGACACCTGGGCCCGCCGTCCCTCCGCTTTGCCCTCAGCGCCCCCCAGCACACCCTGACAACTTGCCCTGTCCCTACCCGCTCCTGCTTCCAGCCCTTCTCTGGGAGCCCCGTTTCTCCTCTCCCGCCCAGATCCCTTCTTTGGGGAGCTCAGCAACTGGAGCAGGAAATGTGGACCCTCTGCCTCCCTCTCTCGCCCTGCTCATTGGATCCGGAGCCTTCTCCGCTGGGAAAGCTGTAATTAGAGGGTGGATCCCTACAGACAGAGAGCAGCCCCCCCCAGCCCCTACCCCCAGTCCCTTCTAACTTCAGATCTCTTCTCTCCCATTCTCCCATTCTCCCTCCCTCTCCCTCTCCCTCTGTCTCCGGCTCAGCTCTCTCCATCTGCCTGGCTCCCTGGGACCCGTTCCCCAGCCTCAGGATGGCGTCCTCCCTGCTTGAGGTAACTGCCCCCTCCGACCCCCAGGACACCAGCCATGATCTTAATGGTCCTAATTCCTGTCCACTTCCCACCTCCCAACTCACACAGACAGTTGCCGTGGTGCTTGTCACTTCCAGGGGTCAGAGGAGTGAGGAGCAGGGGGCAGGAGAAGGGAGGAGAGAGCAGGGCCAGGGGTCAGAGAACAGTCACAGGAGGATGAGAGGGGATTAGCTTAGAAGAAGGCATGGACCCCTAAGGTCAGTCAAGCACACCAACTCTGAGGAGTGGAAAAGGGATGGAGAAAGGAGTTGGGGGCTGAGGAGAGAGGAGTGGGAGAGAGATAAGCTGGTAGCAGACAGGGGGAGAGAAAGAAGGCCAGAGGACTGGCTGGGTGAACACAGAGTAGCAGTGAGTACACGGTTCCTTGGGGGTCCTGGCTCTCGGGAGTCAGCCTAGGCAGTGTCCTGTCTGGTTTGTAGGTGGGGAGGGGGCTGGGCTTCTGGGCTCGTAGGAGAGGAGGTGGGCAATGAGAGAAGGGAGAGGGCAGTCCCTGCATGTGGGGGGCTGACCAGAGGAACTGGGCCCAGGCCTGAGAGGCAACCAAGGAGGAGGGCCAGGGTCTGAGGCCGCCTGCCCGGCTCACAAATATTTAGCTTTCAGCCAAAGACAAACTCAGCTCTATTTTGGGAGTGGGAGGCTCCAGGGCGGACTGAGCCACTTCCCCTCCAGGCCGGGACCCCAGCATCCCTTGCCTCTGGCACTGGGGATGGAGGGAACTAGGGTACCATGGGGGTCAGGGGTTGGGGGCTTGAGGAATGTCTGACTCTGCCGGGGCTTCTGGGAGACTCATGGCACATAGTTGGAAAGGGGGACTCAGGGTCACTCAGAGCCTGTTTGAATGTCCTGAGTTCTCCTAGCTTCTGGGTCTCTGACTCTGTGTCTCTGTCAGCACCTCTGCTTTCCGGGTCCCTCCGCAGGAATTTGGGACCACAGAGCCCTCCCCAAAGATCAACTCCCAGCAGTAGCCTTGACCTTCTGTATTCCTGGGCCCCTCTGAAGGCCCCCTCTCTGCTCCCGGTGCACTAGCTCAGGTCCAAGGGGTGATGGGCCAGACAGGAAGCCGACTCATGCAGCCTGCAGGAGAGGTGTGTGTGAGATAGACTGGGAGCCTTTTAACACCTGTGTTCACTGGCCTGTATGTAAGTGTCAGGATGTAAAGCCGCACACCCACACACGTGGCTGGCTTTGTGAGAGCACAGGGGTGTGTGTTATAAGCTGGGGCACCTGAGCGTCTGTTAGTCCAAGTGGGGAATGGTGTGTGTAAGTCTGGTGGATAGCGAGTTTGTGACTGAGTCTGAGGGAATGGCATGCAAGGCAATGGGGTGGACACCATAACCCAGTCAGGGGGCCTCAGGTGCTGTGCTCTACCCCCTGCTGCAAGGAGGCAGATCGCTCACCCCCAGGACACTCTCCGTTGAACCATATCATTGAAACACTGGGACTGGTCTTGAGGAAGCTGGAGGACTAAGGTGCATGGAAATCCTGGGTCCACCCAAGGCAGGGACAGTGGCAGTGGGCGTGGGCTTCATGTCAGAGTTGCCAGCGTGGCACTGGTGCCTGCAGGAGCGGCTGGGCCAAAGGCCTGTTGAAAAGACACGGGATTGGGGTAGCACTTGGCAAGAGGAGTGTGTCATGGAAACTGGGCTTTCATGTCCCTCACTCCCCGTGAGCTGGAGATGCCCCCAACACCAAGGTTTCTAGTCTCTGTCTCTTTCACCTATTCTGGGGGGCGCCTGGGCCCTCAACCTTCTTCTCCCGCCCCCATCCGGAAGCCCTCTTTGGCAGTGGGAAGAACTTGGGGTTTCAGAGAGGAGAGCTTGATGGAAGGCTCACCTGGGCTGAGCGAGATGCAGAGGAACAGGGTGGAGGGAGAAATGGGGGTGGGGGCTACCTGGGGATGGACACTTGGAAGGTGGGAAAACTAAGCAACTTGGGAGGAGGTGGAGAGTGGAGAAGTGGAAACTGCGACCTTGGGTGCCCAGAACCTACGGCCAGTCAACGCTCAGATGTCCAGTGAACATTCCCGTGGGAGGTCAGCGGAAAGAGGGGGCTCTCCTCCCTGTGTGAGTGAGAGAGCTGGGACAGCTCCTTGTCTTGTTCCTTCTCCACAGACTCTCCCTTCAGTACCTAAAGCCTGTTTTCTTGTGGTTGTCATTGTTTTCAATGGATGGTGGGTGGAAGTGAGAGGAAAAGCAACTGGAAGGTGGGCTCCTGGGCCCCCGGTGTGAGGTCGTGGACGAGTATTTAGAATCTTGAACCAGGACCCTCTCCCCAGTTCTCAGAAGAGCCCACGCAGCAAGAGAAGGAAACCGAGGCTGTGGTGAAACTTAGCCAGGTGTCCAGCTCTTGGCCTCCAGGAACTCCAGAACCGTCTGAGTGGGCTGGCGCCTTGCTCCCCCTTCCCTGCCCTCGGGGGCCCTGGGGGCCTCCGCTCCCCAGTGCTGGGGTCTCCCGTTGGCCTGGGGCTGCTGGCCTTCTTTCACCCCTCCTTCCCTCCCCACGGCTGGGTGGGGTCCCTGGGCTTGGCTGAGGCCCCTGTGGCCACAGTGTGAGGGCCGGGCGGGGGGGGACGGCGTCGGCGTTTTTAAAAATAAACCGACCGCAGGGAAACCAACGGAGCCGGGCCGGGCAGGCAGAGGGGGAGGGGGTGGTCAGGGGGAGAAGGAGGGAGGAGTGGCCTGGTCTGGGGGTTTTCTGGGGCCCAGCGCCCTGGGGGTTTTCTCTTAGGTAGGAAATCTGCCTTCCTCCTCCCCCTCCCCCTTTTCTTTTTTCTCCCTCCTTTCTTTTCCTCTGTTTTCCTGTGCCTTCCTTGCCCAGTCTCTTTCCATCACCTCTCTGTCTTTGTTTTTTTTGCTTTCTTCTCTCTCCGTCCCTTTTGTCGTTTTTTTTGCTTTCTTCTCTTTTGGGTCCCTGCCCATTTCTGCCCCTGAGGGCCAGCTGCCCCTCTGTTTTCATTTTCCCCCCTGCGGGCTTTTCCGTCAGCTCTTCACCCTGCAGTGTCCTCGGCTCCAGGTGTCTCTGGGTCTCTGCCTCTCTCCTTTGAACTCCACGTCTTTACCTGTCCTTTCTGCTAGGCTTTGCCTCCTGCCCCATCAGCTACCCTTCCTTACCTACCCTCTGCTTGGGAGATGAGAGGCTCCAGGGAAATCCTGGCTGGGCAGGATGCAGGGCTTCTGCCAGGTTTGAGGACGCTTTCAGTGGCTCAAATCTGGGAGTCCATGGGGTCAACAGGACCTCAGAGAGAGGTAACTAGACAGGGGGAGCAGCAGGTTTGCATTTGCGGAACAGTGCAAGACTGGCGACTGCACACACCCCTCACTGCAACCTTTAGACCCCAGATCTACCTCTAGGATCGGTGTCACGGGCACATACAGCACATACCACGTGCTGGGAGCTAGCAGGCAGGTCTGGGACCCCTGGATTCTCGGGTTCTTTTTCAGTTTTTGAGGGCCCCAGTCAAGGAACTGTACGGGGTCAGCTTTTGAGGGCATCTTTTTTTTTGGTGGGATTCTCAGTAATGGATGCCTATCTATGCCAGCCTGGGATCCGGGAGGGCATCCATCACCCAGGAGGGCGTCCCAAGTCTGACTCAGGGAGGGGTACCATGAGCTCCTGAGAGATGGTGATCTCAGAGTGGTTTGGCCTGGTAGCAGCAGCACGATGGGCACGAAGGGCATTGTGTGTGTTTCTAAAAGACTCCCATGCCCCGTATCTACATGCATTTTCCTTCACTCCCTGCGCTGGAGGGGTGAAGAGAGACGAGCTCTGTGGCCTCTGTGTGTTAGGGTACACTGAGGCATGGGGGTGTGTGGCTGTGAGCTAGTATCTTAGCCACCCCAGTTCCCTGCCCTGCAGGGGCGTGAGGACTTCAGCTCTCCCAGCCCTCCCAAAGGGGTACCAGCTGGCTCCACAAAGCAGGAGGTGCCCAATGCCCGCTTGAAAGACATTCTTGCCTCAGCCACAGTCCTGGCTTGGCGGCAGCCCTGTTCCCTCTCAATGTCCCAGTGTCTCTGCCCTCACTTCCTCTTGCTCCCCAGCCCCAGGGTCCCTGCCAAGAGAAAGAGATTCCTTACCAAGGACATGAGGACGCCGCTTCGGGGAGACCAGGCCACTGCCTTATTCAGGAGACCAAGCAGAGACAGGAAGTGAATAAGGGGTCAAGCTGGGAAAATCTGGAACGCGGGGAGCTACAGTCCCCTACGACTTCACCTTCTTCCCAGGCTGCCTTTTCAGCCTCATCTTTCCTCTCCAAGTCCCCGACCACGGCCTCTGCTCCCAACCCATTTCCAGGGGTCAGGATCTCTAATTCTCACCGCACCCAAGTGCTGCCTCTATCCCCAGCTCTTCTCATGGCTATTTAAGAAGCGTCTCCCGTTCCTCAGAGGCCCTTGCACACACCCCCAGCACCACAGGGAGCTCTGCTTCCTGCCTGCTGGGTTGGGTGTTAGGCCGCTGTCTCGGTCCTTTGCTCTTTTTCCAGATTCCATCTGAGCTCTGCCCTGGGCCCCAGTCCTCAGTGCCGCCCCTCACCACCTCTGATTCCCCATCCTCTTCAACTCTTCCTTGACCCCTTTCTTCTGCTGTCCGAGTCTCTGGGGTGCACAGTCCTTCGTGTGTCCTCCTCTGCCCCTAAACACTGCTTCCCTCTCTCCACAGGAGGAAGCTCATTATGGCTGCAGTCCCCTGGCCATGCTGACAGCGGCGTGCAGCAAATTTGGTGGCTCCAGCCCTCTGCGGGACTCAGCGACACTGGGCAAAGCAGGCACAAAGAAGCCATACTCTCTGGGCAGTGACCTTTCGGCCCCCAAAACCATGGGCGATGCCTACCCAGCCCCCTTTTCAAGCACCAATGGGCTCCTCTCACCTGCAGGCAGTCCTCCAGCACCCACCTCGGGCTATGCCAATGACTACCCTCCCTTTTCCCACTCATTCCCTGGGCCCACGGGCACCCAGGACCCTGGGCTACTAGTTCCCAAGGGGCACAGCTCTTCTGACTGCCTGCCCAGTGTCTACACCTCTCTGGACATGGCACACCCCTATGGCTCCTGGTACAAGGCAGGCATCCACGCAGGCATCTCACCAGGCCCTGGCAATGCTCCTACTCCTTGGTGGGACATGCACCCTGGGGGCAACTGGCTAGGTGGCGGGCAGGGCCAGGGTGATGGGCTGCAAGGGACACTACCCACAGGCCCTGCTCAGCCTCCACTGAACCCCCAGCTGTCCACCTACCCATCCGACTTTGCCCCCCTTAATCCTGCCCCCTACCCAGCTCCCCACCTCCTGCAGCCAGGGCCCCAGCATGTCTTGCCCCAAGATGTCTATAAACCCAAGGCGGTGGGCAACAGCGGGCAGCTGGAGGGGAGTGGTGGAGCCAAACCCCCTCGGGGTGCAGGCACAGGGGGCAGTGCTGGCTACGGGGGCAGTGGAGCAGGGCGCTCCTCCTGCGACTGCCCCAACTGCCAGGAGCTAGAGCGCCTGGGCGCCGCGGCGGCCGGGCTGCGGAAGAAGCCGATCCACAGCTGCCACATTCCGGGCTGCGGCAAAGTGTATGGCAAGGCCTCCCATCTGAAGGCCCACCTGCGCTGGCACACGGGCGAGAGGCCCTTCGTCTGCAACTGGCTCTTCTGCGGCAAGAGGTTCACCCGTTCGGACGAGCTGGAGCGCCACGTGCGCACTCACACCCGGGAGAAGAAGTTCACCTGCCTGCTCTGCTCCAAGCGCTTTACCCGAAGCGACCACCTGAGCAAACACCAACGCACCCACGGCGAGCCAGGCCCAGGACCCCCACCCAGCGGCCCCAAGGAGCTGGGGGAGGGCCGCAGCGCCGGGGAAGAAGAGGCCAGTCAGACGCCCCGACCTCCGGCCTCACCGGCACCCGCAGAAAAAGTCCCTGAAGGCAGCCCAGAGCAGAGCAACCTGCTGGAGATCTGAGCCGAGTGGAGGTTTCCAGCCCCTGGGCTGCCTTGCCAGTCTCTCCTGGCTCTGTGGACCACTGCTTGCCCCTCACTCCCTTTGCCCCATGCATGCTGCCCTTTGGGACTCGCTCCATCTCTCCCCCCATCATTCTGGGCCTGGGTATCTCCTCGCATGCCTCCTCCTCTCACTTCCTCCCCCTTGCCATGGGCCCCTTCCGCAAACTCTCATCTTAGGCCCTCACCTCTTGCCTGATTTCTGCTCTCAGGGCTTCTGAAGCTCTTTCCTCGCCACTGCTCAGTATCTCTCTCCTCTGCTCTTACCACACCAACTCATTTTCTCTCCATTTGGGCTCCCAACACTTTATTTCTCCATCTCACTAACTCCTTGACATGCATCTTTTCTGCTTCCCAAGCTTATTTACCACTATCCCTTAGCTTCCAGGCTCCAGTCTCCTCAGTGGACTTCGTAGTCCATTGCCTTCCATGCTCCAGAGCATTCTTCCTTTTTACAAACACAATGATGATGATGATGATGATAATTTATTGCCCCCTGGTGGCCTCTTCATTAGGGACCAGAGTTGGGGGATTGGGGTAAGTGACCTGGCAGGGAGCAGGGTGCCAAGAGGGGGGCAGACCAGTGGGGATCTGATCCCAAAGATGGGGTGACCCCAGGGTCAGGGAGGCTGCCCCCAGGCCTGTATATTTAACCCCTATGTTCCAAGAGAAATGAATAGTAATAATAATAATTCTATTTATCTAAGTTATGATGACAGGTCAGGTAGAGTGAGCTGGGGAGGGAAGCGGGTCCATTTCTGCTATGGAAATTTTAGCCAAATGCATCCCTGTCTAGAAAAAGTGATAGTGAGATCTTGTTAATAGAATTTCTATCATCAGGGTCTCAGTTAATGGTGTTTCTCGTAATGGAATCTCTGCTAATAGGGTTGATTAGCTAGATCTCTGTTAAAAGAGTTAATGGGGTATCTCACAATTAGGGGATCCCTAATATTTCCAGCCCTGGCCAGAAGCTGTGAAACCTCAAGTCCTATGGAGGGGAGGACTGGAATGTACCCCAGCTCCCTTGACCCCAGAGCAGGTTCTTCCACTGCCCCTCCCCTGACACCATGACCCCATCAGGCTAATCCCTTGTTGCCATGGTAACAGAGAGCTTGCAGCTGCCATCTTAGACATGCTCTTTGGGGAAGCCCACTTAACCGGAGGAGGACACTGGTTTGGAGGTGTCTCTCTAGAAGAATAGGTGGGGAAGGCTTTCTCTGGGATCAGATCAAGAAAATCAAGTATTTATTGAGTGCCTACTCTGTGCAAGGCACTGTGCTAGGCTGGTGCCTAGAAGCCATGAGAAAGAAGAATTTATAGAGCTAGGAGGACAGAGGTTCCCAAGCTGACTTGGGGGTGCGTCCACAGGCCCCCAACCTGGGACTTCCGATGCTCCCAACTCCACCTCCAGTGACTTTTAAAGCCGCTTCGTGCCTTTGAATGCCTTTCCTGTGACTTTGGATCCTCCTTTTCTATTTCTTGCTCCCTCAAGGCCCCAAGTTAAAGGTTTAAAGCCGCCGGAGCTTGGGGAGAGGGTAATGTTGTGGAAGGGAAGGGATCATGCCCTCATGGAGTCTTTTTTTTTTTTTTAATTTAATAAATAAAAAATTCGATTTAAAATTTTGTCCTGGTGAGAAAAGAGGAAGAGGAGGGGAGAAGAGTGAGCCACAGGATTTCTGGTTGGCAAACTGGGGAGTCCCCGCGGGCACTGTCGTGCCTGTTTGCACGTTACGCCCGGGGTAGAATACTTCGGCGGCCCGGCCCTGCGGCGGAGGTCAGTTTTTGACCGCCCAGCCCAGAGCTCTCTGCGGAGTTGGGAAGGCGAAGAGGTTTTCTTCACCCGGCTCTTTCTCGGGCTCGGCACCAGCGGACACAGCCTGGACAGCAGCCGGGCGGCGCGCCGGCCCCGCGGTCGCCGTGCGGACTACGGCGCGGCCCGGGCCGGGCGAGGTGCGGCTACCGCGGGTGGACCCGCCTGGCACGTAACCCGCCCCCGGCCCCGGGCCTGCAATCAGTCGTGCCCGCCACGGACTCAGCGGAGGAACAAAAGCCACTCTGTCGCGGCCAGACCCCAGCCACAATAGGGCTTTGTGCGGCCTCCGCCCCCTACGGCTCCCCCGCCGGGCGGAGGGGCGCACGAGCCGCTCCCCCAGCCTGGGCCCGACTGCGGGCGGCGCCCCCGTCCGCCGGTGCCCCTTGCGGGCTCGGGAGAGGCGCTCCGCGCTAGAGCGGGGGAGGGGTCGGCGGGTCCCAGGCGGTGCTCGGGCTGCCGGTCCCCTCCCCACCCCGCCCCCGTCCAGGTGCGAAATCTCCTGCCCTTGGGCGGGGCTCCGGGCTTCAAAGGCGCTTTGAAGAAGGATCCGAGTTCCGAGGACCCTCCGGCCGGCCGGGGCCGCGGCGGAAGAGCGGCTGAGAGGGGCGGGAGACGCCTGGGCGCGGGGCTGCGAGAGTGGGCGGCCCGAAGTGGACCCCCGGGCTCGGCGCCCACCCCGCGGGGCCGGCTCCTCGGGACCCCCCAGGGCCTGGCCCTCTCGCCTCCCGGCCTCCGCCTGTCCGATGCCAGCTCCCGCCCGCCGCAGCCTCGCGGTCCTCCCCTCCCCGGTCCCTCGGCTCCTTTCATCTTCCTTAGACTCCGCTTGGGGTTTTGCTGGTTTCTGGGAGATAAAAACCGCCTCAAATAGCGGCGGCGTGCTGCCAGGACAAACAGGGCCGGGCGGGCCATGTGCGCCTGGTTACCGGCCCCGGGCCGGGGCGCCGGGCTTCGGCGCGCCCAGGAAGGGGCGGCGGGCCGAGGTCCAGGCACCCAGGCTCCCGCGATGCCTCCCGCCTCCCAAAGTGGGGGGCCCCATTTTAGAAGTTTCGGGCAGTGGCCAGGACGCTGCCTCGGTTTCCCGCCCAGGTCGTAGGGAGGGGCCCCGGTGGAGACTGCCCGCCGAGCGCTCTGAGCCCCTGGGGCGGTGGGTCACAGTCACTGTGTCGCCAGGGCCGCCGCGCCCCCTGGTGAAGTTAGTGGGGAGTGCGCTAGGCCTGGACTTCAGCCTCCCAAGAATCTGCAAATTGTGAAAAACCATTCAGCAAACCTTAAATAAGCTGTATGGGGGAGGCGGTTGTGGAGTATGAAGACACAGAGCACTGTTCCTTCTCTCCAGGTCACATTACAGGGTAAGAGGCAGGCACCTAACTGATAATTATAAAACAGTCTGTTGGTGAAAATCAGGCTTCATTCAACGGAGGGTGGAAGTCATAGTCCCAGGCTGTAGTGAGTTCTTGGGGTATCTGGGGTTGGATGATACAAACAAAAAATTTGTGGGTGGCTTCTCACTGCTCTCCACCAGTCTGTCAGGGTCACGGACTCCCACTTTTCCTTCAAACCTGTCCTGCTTCCCCGTCTCAAGGCGAGCTTTCCCAGCCAATTTCTCCAAACTATCCCCAGTTTTAATAATCTGCTCTTTAAGTTTTCTGTGACTTCCCAAGTGACAGTGAACTAATTAAATGGGGGGACGGGCTACTTAAAGAGTTGTCTGTGCAGTATCACCTGCGGGCTTTTTGGAACTACAAGTTCAGAGTTCCACCCCAGAATTTGCATTTTAACAAGATCCTCAGATGATTCCTATGTCCATTAACGTTTTGGAGCCCCTGGTTTTCTGACCCGGGAATAACTCTTGGGGGAACTTTTCATGTAGAAAGGAGGGGCAGATATAGAATCCGAGAATGTTAAACCAGAATGTCTCCTATAGTATCCAATGAGACTGGCTGCTCTTGGGGATGGGGAACTGTATGCCTTATACAGTTCTGGGTCCCCAGAGCTTGGTCCTTGGAATTGCTCATTAACATCTGTTAAATGAATGAACCAATGCCCAAGGTCACCTAGTTCATGGCAGAGTTAGGGCTATTCATCTCCAATATCTGCTTAGCACTTTACAGTTTATTAAATGGCTTTGTTTCCATTACTTTGTATGGGAAACAGCCATGTATAATAGTTAGGACACTGCAAGTGAGGGAGCTGAGTCTCAAAGAATTCAACGATTTTCCCAAAGCCACACAGCTGTAAGAAGAGGAGCCCCCATTCTGCATTAGATTCCAGTTCCAGTTCCATCCTTTGGAGTTAGAATAAGATCAATCTCACTTGTTTTAAAAAATTGATTTACGATATTATATTAGTTTCAGGTGTACAACACAATGATTTGGTATTTTTATAGATTATACTCCATACAAAGTTATAAAATATTGGCAATATTCCCGTGCTGTACATTACATCGTTGTAATTTATTTATTTAATACCTTGTAGTTTGTACCTCTTAATCCTCTTTACTTGTTTTTGCCCCTCTCCTCTCAATCTCACTTTCATTCTGTAGTCAGAATGCCTTATACAGGTTTTGGTATTTTTAGGTCCGATCTCCCTGTGCCTCTTTCCTTATGGTGATATAACAGTACCCATCTCATGGAGTTGTTGTAAAGATTATACAAGCACTTACCATAATAAGTGCTCAGGACATGTTAATTTCCCAACTGTTCCCACTTTTCCTTCTAGGAGGCCTAACCCCGTGGGCTCTAGGTTCCGGCGGGCACTGCACTCTCCCTCCCAAGGCCTCCCGCCTGACTTTCCGCCTTCCGGAGGCTTTCCCTCAACTTTCCAGCCAGCTGCCCCTGACACAATCCTGGGAGAGTTTAATTGGGTACTGCCCTGAACGTGGCTTATTTTGGACTTTTCGAGTGCTGAGAGTGAGTAGGAGAGCGTGTTGAGGAATTCGGAACTGGGAAAAACAGCAGTCTCACAGGAAACAAAAAAACGCTCCGACCCTTAAATAGTGGTCTGCCCTACGGACGTGTTTACACCGGCCCCCTCTGGCCGCCAGGCGCCGCGCGAGGACGCCGGAAGTCTGTCCCGGACTGCGCATGCGTCCTTCTTCTCCGTTACTCTTCCATTCACTTCCGTTGAGCTTTGCAAAGCAGTTTGTCCCAGGCGACAACCCGTACGCATCCTAATCTAGCCAGGGAACTAAGAGTCGGCGGAGCGGGATCCGGGAGTTTGCTCAGTCCGGACGTCTTCGGCACCGGCAGGATGTGCTCCCTGGCGTTGTTCCCTCCGCCGCCGCCTAGGGGACAAGTCACCCTATACGAGCACAATAACGAGCTGGTGACGGGCAGTAGCTATGAGAGTCCGCCTCCCGACTTCCGGGGCCAGGTGGTCAGGGCGAGGAGGGAGGAGACCTACAGGCGTGGGGGGCAGAGTCGGAGAGAATGGGGGAGCAGAGGCAACGTGATAGGGGCGGGGTCGAGGTCCCCAGACTGGAGTATTGGAAATAGCCTGGCTCAGGCTGGAGAAGAATAGAAGGACTGGGATGTATTTAAGAGCTGGGATTGGAGGATAAGGGATGCTGAGGGGCTGTGGTGCGGGCCTAGTGGGAACGGAGAGTGAGGGCGAATCTAGGGGATGTGAGGGTGCAGGAGGACTTCTGAAAAGTTGGTACAGAATCTGGGAGAACTGGGAAGGTACAACCTGGGGAGTTTTTTCCTGTGGTGTTTCTGGGAAGGAAAAGGAAGAGAAACTTACATTTATTGAGCGTTTGCTTGGAAGAAAGGCTCTGAGTCAGGTGTTCTCCACAAATGTTTTAATAATGTGATTTAATCACAGCAACCCTATGAAATATTATTCTAGTTTTACAGATAAGGGAGCTAAGACCTGTTTCCCTGTCCCACAAGTGTTATATATATATATATTTTTTCTTTTTCTTTAACATACTTATTGGAGTATAATTGCTTTACAACGTTGTGTTAGTTTCTGCTGTATAACGAAGTGAATCAGCTATATGCATACATATATCCCCATATCCCCTCCCTCTTGCGTCTCCCTCCCACCCTCCTTATCCCACCCCTCTAGGTGGTCGCAAAGCACCAAGCTGATCACCCTGTGCTATGCAGCTTCTTCCCACTAGCTATCTGTTTTACATTTGGTAGTGTATATATGTTAATGTTGCTCTCTCACTTCGTCCCAGCTTACCCTTCCCCCTCCCTGTGTCCTCAAGTCCATTCTCTACATCTGTGTCTTTATTCCTGTCCTGCCCCTAGGTTCATCAGAATCTTTTTTTTTTTTTAGATTATATATATGTTCGCATACGGTATTTGTTTTTCTCTTTCTGACTTACTTCACTCTGTATGACAGACTCTGGGTCCATCCACCTCACTACAAATAACTCAATTTCGTTTCTTTTTATGGCTGAGTAATATTCCATTATATATATATATATATATATATGCCACATCTTTATTATTTTTTAAAATTTATTTATTTTATTTTTGGCTGCATTGGGTCTTCGTTGCTGTGCACGGGCTTTCTCTAGTTGTGGCGAGCGGGAGCTACTCTTCGTTGCGGTGCATGGGCTTCTCATTGTGGTAGCTTCTCTTGTTGCAGAGCATGGGCTATAGGTGCCTGGGCTTCAGTAGTTGTGGCATGCGGGCTTCAGTAGTTGTGGCACGCAAGCTCTAGAGCGCAGGCTCAGAAGTTGTGGCTCACGGACTTAGTTGCTCCGCGACATGTGGGATCTTCCCGGACCAGAGCTTGAACCCGTGTCTCCTGCATTGGCAGGTAGATTCTTAACCACTGCGCCACCAGGGA